CAGGCACATAGAGCACATCATTTAGTGTCACTATCTTGCCAGATGTCATCTTCAAAGCCACTTTACCCACACCTTCAACTTTTGAAGTAGACGAGTTACCCATATAAAGCTTCTCATCATTATCAGTAAGAGCATAGAAGGAAAACATCCACTTGGATGAACAGACATGTCTGGTGGCACCAGTGTCCACCCACCATTCCTTAGTATCTCCCATCAGATTTCACTCCATCACCACTGTTGCCAGATTCAGTTCATCAACCTGATCAGCAATATCAACCATGTTGGCTTGAGTGCTCTTCTTCTTATTGAACTTTTGTGGCTTCCTCTAATCTTCTTTTTGTTCCTTCTTACAATCCCTTGCACGGTGGCCAGGATTCCCACAGTTATAACAGTTGCCTTTGTATTTTTTGCATTTTCCTTGCTTAGCATTTCCATCATCAGAATATTTCCTCTTCGTTGACTTTGATCCCTCTTCAACTACATTAGCCTTAGAGAGCATAGGATTGTTGTCATTCCTCTTATCAGAATTTTTATTATCTTCTTCTATCTTCAATCTTATAACCAGATCTTCAAGTTACAATTCCTTGCGCTTATACTTCAGATAATTCTTGAAGTATTTCCAAGAATTTGGTAATTTTTCTATGAAAGCAGCAACTTGGAAAGACTCACTAAGAGATATTCCTTCTGCATGAATTTCATGCACAATCACTTGAAGTTCCTCAACTTGACTCGCAACGGATGTGGAGTCTTGCATCTTGAAGTCCAAGAATCTGCCAACTATAAATTTCTTTAAGGCAGCATCCTCAGTTTTATACTTCTTATCCAGACTATCCCAAAGTTCCTTACTAGTCTTCAGGGTACAATACATATTATACAATGTGTTGTCTAGACCATTGAGAATATAGTTTCTGCAAAGGAAGTCAAAATGCTTCCATGCATCTATGGCAGCAACCTTGTCCTTGTCAGGTTGTTCTCCCTCATCCAGTTTAGGAGCATCTTCCTTGAGGAAACGTTCCAGACTCAGAGTTGTCAAATTGAACAACATCTTCTGTTGCCAACGTTTGAAATTAGTCTCATTCAATTTTTCAGGTTTTTCAGCATGCATTGAAACAGAGGCAGTATGATTGGCAGTGTTTATACTTGTACTAGCCAATTCTGTTACACAAAGATTAATTAATCACACAAATTAATCACACAAGAATTAATCACACAGTAAATAAAATAGAAATAGTATATAAAAATAAAAACAGAATATACTGATCACAGGTTCAAAGCACCAAATTGTCTTAAGATTGTTATTGAAGACAGTGGGTGATATTAAATCACTAAGAGGTTTGAACCCATTTATAGAGCAGAAGAGATAGATGATCAGAATTATCACTGTGCAATAATAAAAATTAAAACAGACTTACTTGATGTCAGATGATGAGACAGACAGAATGATGAAAATATGCAGAATCAGATGATTAAATCCGAGCCCACAGAAAGTGTCTCCTTAAGAAAATTTGCCCCCTCACTAATGCCAAAGGTTGATAGACAAGACTCTCTTAGGATATAACGGATTTTGTTTGAAGAGTGGTGGCACTACCAGTCAACAGCCCAAACGAACACAATAATTGCCAGAGTAATTACACCGAAAAAAATAGAAGGGAGTATGCAAAATCGGATGAAGGAAAAAATTCGGCAGAGTAACAGTGCAGAAAATTGAATTAAATTTTCTGAAGGGGTCAGGTCCTATATATAGAAAACTTAAGGTCACATTTCAAAAGACACATATTCGACGACGAAACAACATATCCGTCGAACACGAAAAGACACTCATTCAAGGATGAAACAACACGTCCGTTAGGATGAAACAACATATCCTTTAGGATGAAAAGATACATCTGTTTGTCGAAGAAAAGACACACATTTTCACTACCAAACTTCTTATTCATAACCAATAGATTGTCTACACAATATATATATATATATATATATATATATATAAATTCCAACAAGAAACCATGGTTGCTAGCTGGGGAATAACCCACACCTCCACCACCAATAAAAATGGTGGATATACTTGTGTAACAGCTAGTTCGAGTTGAACATAACAGATGCAACTGATTGCTTCCCATGGTATTTGTTGATGACAAAGTCTTGGCTAGCTGGTTCATTCACAATCATATATGATGATAATCCTTATGCTGTAATATGATCTTACCGAAGATAGAAAAAAGGTTATGGTTGAAGGACCATGGATCATGGAGCCCGGACTTCATCTTTCCTAACGCAATAGTTGATGACACTCATTTTTAGCCTAAACTTAGTTTATTATGATGCATATAAGTTTTCTCCTAGCCATGGCATCAACGCTGGGAAGATCCAATAATATTCAGCCACAAAAAACTTGACAATTTAATTTTTTGTAATGTGGAGAAGGGGTATTTCATAGCACGCGCAATAATACCTACAACATGGGGTATAGAAAAGTAATATTTTGGAAGCTGTTTCTAAGGCCACTATAGAGCTGATCAAACCAGGAACCTTGCCTTGACCATCTTCTAGCTAAGTTTGCTCTTTCCTTCCCCGTGGCCTTTCACCTAGTGAAGTCTCTCCCTTCTTTTACTTTTGTTGCTTTCATGCCATATGCTAGCTTCCCCATGGCCTTTCAGCTAGCATATGGCATGAAAGCAACAAAAGTAAAAGAAGGGAGAGACTTCACTAGGTGAAAGGCCACGGGGAAGGAAAGAGCAAACTTAGCTAGAAGATGGTCAAGGCAAGGTTCCTGATTTGATTAGCTCTAAAGTGGCGTAGCCATGTTACAGCTAGGTGGGGCCTGGGGCCCAGCTGATTTTGAAAAAAAAAATATTATATATAATTATATGATTAATTTTGATTCGGCCCAGGCTAAAATTGCAATTAGGCCCTATCTCTTGTCTCAAACAAGATGAACTACATCCATCCTCACGGTACCCTTTGTGAATACCAATTTTATGCAACAAGTTTTGTTTTCATTCAATAAAAAAAAGGATATAAGAAAAAGGAACATACAGAGAACAGGAAGTAGTGCAGAGGGAAGAGGTTACCGATTAAATATTAGGTCTTTGTACATGGATCAAGTAATCACCAAAATGGACAATCAAAATGGTACAGGGAGAAAAGAGCATAAGAGGCATACATCAAAATGGATAGTCAAAATAACATCTATACACTCTCGGAGGTACCCCCAATGACCCCAAACTCTTTTATCATCAACAACATCCTTCTCTCAAAAAGACTCAAGAAGAGAGCAGAGCAGATGTATAACCCTCGCGTCATTCGCCATGGCTGAAGACCTCCGAGTCGGACTTCGTTCGCCACCACCTGGATTTCGCCCACTGTGCACGCCTCTAACTAGCGAGTGACTTGGACTCAGTGGCACGCCTCAACCTTTCCATTTTGCGGTAACCTCCTCGAACCCAAGTTGCAACCATCTCAGATTTTATTTATATCCATTCTGACATATCAAGTTGTTTATATAGTGGGTAAGGATAGATATCATTTCATCTTATCTTGTTTATTCAACCTTTCTTTTATTTATTATTTTAAGATGGGATAAATGGATAATATAATGACAAATAAAATAAATAAATAAATATCAAAGTTATTCTAATTTATGAAAAGACATTTCACTGCATACATTAATCTAGAAGATAGATAGCAGACTACTTCACCTATTTATTATGCCATGTGAAAAAAAAAGCTTATATATGTTTGTTTTATTATTATTTATTATTGTTCTCCTACTTGCACCTACATGTCAAATTATATTTGAGGGGAGCAATTCTACGACACTTTTCCATCCTTATAGATGTGTCAATTTGTTTTATTATTATTTATTATTGTTCATGGGCCATGGGCTGAATGCATATGGTTCATCATATTTTTTAATTTTTACAATGTTAAATATTATATAATAATAATTATTTATCACCTCATATTCACAACTAATTGGGTGCGTCTCGTATGCACAATTGATTGCGTTATTTTGATAAATTGTTTCAAACTTGGATTAATTTGATTTATTTGTTTAAATCTGTCTTATTGTTTAAATTTTGCCCCATTCTCTCTGTCCACTTGCGAACCAGTTATACCAAAATAATAGACTTCTTTTTTCTTATCATTATTTTTAATTGTCAAATATGTGTTGCTTTAATTGTCAAATTGTCAAATATGTACTGCATACAAATTGACATGTAGGTTGAAAAAGTATGGGCAAGGGCAAGGATAAACAGAAAAGTATAGACGTGTTCTTTAAAAAGAAAGTAGCCTCCGAAAAAGAATCAAGTGATGCTCCTCCGAACATAATTTCTAAAAGTGATGCACCTTCTCATGTGCAACCTCCTTCCAAGTGTCGTAGAATTGAACACACTGACGATATTATTATAGTCAAAAATAAAATTTGTGAACGTGATCCAGGAAAGCGTAAGACAATTTGGGAATATCAGCTAATGAAGTGGATGAGATAAGTAGATCTTATTTAATGGTTGGGCCATACTAACCTCAATGCTCCTATCCATTTTCAAAGGAAAAACATCCTCGACGTTTTCAAGCTTCTTGGTTCAAAGAATTTTCTTCATGGCTTGAGTATTCACCTGCTATAGATGCTGCATTTTGTTTACCATGCTATCTTTTCACTACAAAGGTCGGTGGGCGACATGGTTGGAATGCATTCACAATTAAAGGTTTTAAACTTGGAAAAGAGTTCATAGTGGAAAGAATTGTGCTTTTCTAAGTCATATGGGAGATGATCCTTGTTCACAACATACTAATGCACTCATCTCATGTGTAGACTTAATGAATCAGTCTTGTCATATTGATAAAGTTATGCATGCTCAAAGCTCCCAACAAATTGAAAAAATAGGCTGCGTGTTAAGACTTCAATTGATGTTGCTCGTTGGCTTGCTTTTCAAGGATGTGCTTTTAGAGGGCATGATGAGACTATTAATTCAAGAAATAGTGGTAATTTTATTGAAATGATTAAACTTTTGGCATCTTACAATGAAAAAGTTGCAGATGTTGTTCTAAAGAATGCTCATTTGACAGCCAAGTATACCTTACCTCAAATACAAAAGGAGATTTTATATGTTCTAGCAAACAAAGTGTGAAAACAGATTCGCAAAGATATTGGGGACTCTAAGTTTTGTATTATCGTGGATGAAGCACGTGATGAATCCAAAAGAGAAGAAATGGCTCTTGTCTTGAGATTTGTTGACTAAGATGGTTTCATAAAAGAGAGATTTTTTGATCTTTATCATGTTCAAGATACATCTTCTATGCCACTTAAAAATGCTATTAGTGAAATACTCTCACATCATTGCCTTGATATCCAGAATATCCGTGGCCAAGGATATGATGGTGCTAGTAATATGCATGGTGAATGGAATGAATTGCAAACATTATTTCTTGATGAATGTCCTTGTGCTTATTATGTGCATTGTTTTGCTCATCGATTACAATTATCCTTGATTGCTGCTTCTAAGCGTTATGATCAATTCCAAGCTGCCTAAGTTTCTGAATTTGAACATCTGCAGGCTATTGGTGAGCTTAAAACTGGTACATGTTCTAACCAAATAGGTACATTAAAGATACTATATGGGGTTCTCATTTTTATTCTATATGCAGTCTTCAACGAGGGTATAATGAATTGTGTTCAGTACTTGAAAAAATTCGTAGTGAAGGATCAAATTACTCTCAAAGAGAAGATGCTACTGCAGCTTATAAGATGATCACTTCTTTTGAGTTTATCTTTAATTTACTTTTGATGAAGGAGATCATGGGCATCACTGAAATTCTTTGTCAAGCATTACAACAAAAATCTCAAGATATTTTGAATGATATGCAATTAGTTTCAAGTACAAAGGAACTTATTCAAGAATTGCGAGATGATGGTTGGAAAAGAATACTTGAAAGTGTTGTTAATTTCTCCAAGCTTTATGAAATAGATATTCCAAATCTTGATGCTCAATATATTGAAGGTCGTGGCCATCGACAACATGATCAAATAACTATTGAGCATCACTATCATTTTGATATCTTTAATTCAACAATTGACTTTCAATTACAAGAGTTAGATAGAAGGTTTACTGAGCAAACAATGAAACTTTTATCACTTAGCTCTTCATTAGATCCAAAGAATGGTTACAAAGCATTTAATGTTGATGATATTTGTAGCCTTGCAGAGAAATATTATCCTCTTGATTTTTCTGAGTAAGAGAGAATTAGTTTGAATTGTCAATTGAAGCATTTCCACAAAGACATCCTAAAAAATCCAGAACTTCAAAATTTATCTTCAATTTCTGAGTTGTGTCAAGGATTAGCCAAGACAGGAAATTCAAATTCCTATCATTTGGTTGATAGGCTAATTTGTCTTATCTTAACATTACCAGTTTCAACAGCAAGTAGTGAGCGTGCATTCTCAGCAATGAAAATTGTGAAAATAAGGCTTCGAAACAAAATGGAGAATGACTTTCTTGCAAATAATTTGGTTGTGTATACTGAAAGAGAGATTGCTGAAAATTTTACTACAGATTCTATCCTTGAAGATTTCGTCAATTTAAAAGAGCGTCGTATACAATTTTAGGTATACAATTTTTTGATTATATTTAAATTATTTATTAAATGTTATTATACATATAGTTATTATATTTGTGTATATTCATATCCACAGGATAATGCTTGGTTCATTACTTATTATGCCGTGGGAGGAAAGTGCAACTCTTATGTTTGAAATACTTACCGAAAAGGTTAGTGCCTTTTTATATATTTGCTTTGATATATAATCGTTTACAATTGTTCATTTTAATTTTCAATGTTATGTGACATTATTTAGTAAATAATTTAGATAAGTATGCTTGAATTCATAGTAAATTTTTTCCTAATAAATTTATGCAATTATGATAAACATTTTAATAATTTAATATATCAAATTTTTTGGCCATGGCTAAAATTTAATCCTGGCTCCGCCACTGCTAGTTTGTATATAGTGTATGGTTTTAATAGTCCGGTTCGAGTATGGTCTTATGTATATTGGCGGAGCTGGCCTCTAATTTGAGCTCAGGCCAAAAAATTATATATGTATTTGTTTTTCTTAATTTTAGTTAGTTCATATCATAATATATTTAAATTATATTAATTACAGAGCACTTGAGCAGGCAACACTAAGAAGAATTATAATTTTATTAAATATTTTCTAATTTTACTAAAAAGTATTTTATTTTTTTTATACAAGTGAAAATTGAACACATAACCTAATACAAGTATACAACTTACCCAATTTTAAGTTTTAGATAAGGTCAAATTATAAATGGTAGCCCGAGCCAAATTCTAAATTAACTCATGCCAAATTATAATTAATTATATAATTATATATAATAAGTATAATTTGTTAAAATTTAGCCAAGCCACACCCAGCTTATATGTGGCTCCGCCACTACTTATATACCGGGAAATAGGGGTGAAACTTGGCCGGGCCAGCCTACAGGGGCCGACGGCTCGTCCTATGTCAAGCTAGACCTGACCTAGTACATTTCGTAAAATAGGCAGGGCTTGCCGGCTTGGGCCTTGAAAAATCTTGTTTAATAAATAGGCTGTAGACCCACTTTAACAAGACCTGACATATAAGCCTACAGGTCGGCCTATATTATACTTTTTATTTTAAATAAAATAAAATAGAATAAGTATGTGTTGAAGAAAAAAACAAAATATATAAATTTAATCAATTGCAATTGTTTATGACTTAATTATATTTGATTATATTTTAATAGAAATCTGACTTTATTTCTTATGTAGAAGGAACCAACATCTCAACATGTTAGATTGTGTATATGAATATATTGAAAGATTTTTGGGAGATGTTATACTTACTACAAGCGTCATATTGTGTTTGTTGGATTCATGTAGTTATTTTAATTTACATAATATGGATTTGTTTGTTGGATCTGATAAAATATATGTTATTTAATTTGAGCATTTTGCTTTTGAAAGTGACTTATGATTCTGTTTGGATATTTTGCGAAGTTGATTCATGATTTTGCTTGGAAGTTAAAAATTAACAGGCTAAGCCAGACCATTTACTTTTTTTATAAACGGATCAAGTCAGGCTAACGGTTAGACTCTTACTATGCTTGGGCTAGGCTAAATTGAATTTTTTTGACATAAACTTGAACTTTTCGAGACAAAACTTGACCTAACTCAACCCACTTTCACCCCTACCGAAAAACATGTCATTGCAAAGTATGAATTACATATATTCAATAATACAGGGAGCAGCTCTTCAACACCATGTCTTAATTAATTTCAAGACCTTTGATTAAGGAAAATAAATTCCTTATCATTAACCATGATTGTTGGTTGATAGCTGGCGAACCATATTGGTTAAGGTTTAAGCATTTTTGTTTTTGTTTTAAGAAAAATGGTGCCCGCAACTTTGCTGATATTCATATTTTGTCAAATATATTATTTAATTAGGAGTATTCGTGATTTTGGATCATTCAAGTTATAACTTATCAGGAAGGAAGCCATTTGAACCGATACAATTAGTTTTTATACGTTAGAAATCTTCAGGTTAAACTTTGACTGTAGAACCCAAGTGCTTCAATCTAGGTATGGGAATTAAGCGTACCTTTAGTCAAAGTTATAGTTAGTCAAATTTATATTTTCCAACCATAACGAAGTACGACAATCCTACTTGAGCTTTTGTACACCACATGACACATATTCAGCAAATATGGGTGCTCAGTTTACTTATAGTACATTTGAATTCTGCCCAATTTTGGTATATTATACAAGTCATAGTGTATGATATGAAGGCAACCATGGGACAATCAAAGCGATTCATATCTATAGTCACGTGTCAAAAAAATTTAAATAGTTTATTAATAAATATTTACAAAAATATAGTTATTTTAAATATAAATATAAATTTATAGCACTCAAACACATCCTATAGAGGGGGCGACCAATTGAAGAGAGACACTTTACAAAGTGAGCATGTTTTATGAGAGACACACTCCCCACAAGGAGAGTGACTCACCAGATGCTGACACGTGGCACAAAAAGTCAATAATTTGACTGTAAAACTTTGAAATTTTTTGACTTAGGTATTCGAATTAAGTATTTTTTTATTTCACATAACTTTTCAAGATCTACGCAATGACATTCTATTTGTCATATTTTGTCTCTCACAAAAAAAATTCAAACTTACAATAATGATACTATAAGAACATTTAAACCCAGATTAATAAAGAGAAAATCACTGTCACGATTAGAAACATTCCTAGTAAATATCCTTATGATTATGGTATCATTATTGCAAATTGAAATTATATTTATAGGAGACGAAACTTCAACTTAAATAACATCGTTCACATTCGCAGATATAAAATATGCAAAACATATTTTTTTTTTTTACCAAGTCCCCTCCAGGACTTGCCAGACTTGCCAACACGTTCGTCTCAAAAAGTTATGCAGGACCATAATCATAAGGATCTTTACTATGAATGTTACTAATCATGATAATGATTTTCTCTTTATTAATTTGGGTTTAAACGTTCTTATAGTATCATTATTGTAAATTCAAACTTTTTATGAGAGACAAAATATGACAAATGTAATGTCATTGCATAAATTTTGAAAACTTGTGCGAAATCAAATTTTTTTTTACTTAATTTGGACACTCAAGTCAAAAGTTATGGACTTTCAAAAATTTTATAGTCAAATTGTTAACTTTTTGTGTCATGTGTCAACATCTAGTGAGTCACGCCCTTTGTTGAGAGTGTCTCTCTCCTAAAACACGTCCTTTATGGAGAGTGTCTCTCTCTAACGAGTCATACCTTATGTGGGACATGTTTGAGTGCTATGACTTTATATTTACATTTAAAATGACTATATTTTCATCAATATTTATTAAAAAAATAATATTTAATTCTTTTTGCCATAGATTTCTTAACATATTTTATTTAAGGGTTTTATAAGAGTTATGTTGTAGGAAAAGTGATTGTGTAATGTTATAGAGATTCGTTTTGCGTACCTTAATTTTTTATTTATTTTTTTGTTTTAAAAAATGTGGGCCCCACAAAATGTTGTGAGGGTAGGAAAGTTTGTTGTGTTATATGTTAAAGGATAAAACGAAAACGCTTTATTTAATTATTTGTGCCAAAAAAAAAATAATTAAACCTATGAGTCTGTCATTCTTCGCTTACTTCTGACGCCCAATTTAATGCACTTAAATCTGAGCACCATCTGACAGCTGCAAGTTTAGTCATCCAATTGATGAATGCTTTTTAGGTGCATCAGTCGTTCGTGCTACGTTCATTAAAAAAAAGGTAAATATCTTTTTTGGTCTTCAGCAAATTTCACGATGCCCGTTTTAGTCCCTAGCAAATAAAAAGGTCCATCGTGGTCCTTGAAAAATTCAAAATGGATCCATTTAGTTGAAATTGTGGTCCCTCACAAATTCAAAAAAGATCTATATTAGTCCCTAAAAATTAAATTGAGTCCATTTTGAATTTTTTAGGGACCACGATGAGCCTTTTTATTTGCTAGGGACTAAAGCAGGTATCATAAAATTTATTGAGGATCAAAAAAGGTATTTACTCTTAAAAAAAATACACATAAATTAAATTTTTTTTTCTCTGTTATACAATTTACACATTTTCTCTCCGTCGCACTGGCTAAGTGGTGCGATGGTAGCACCTTAAAAATTTTCTCAATTGAGTAGCATATGAGAGGTGCGAGAATTAATCTAGTAGTTAAAGAAGTGTGTTCCTCCTATTTTATTTTATCCACTTTAAGAGTTTGTTTGGATCAAAGGTTTAAGTTCTGTCTCAAATAAATTTTTAATTTTTTTTTTCAAGTCAGAGGACGTGTCTCTTTTTTCGGAGGAATGATTGATCTCATCCTTCATTTGATAGTGAAACTCAATGCATTCACTATTTTAATAAGAGATAGTTTTCAGGCCGCACTCCAAGAACAAAATGATCAAAGAGATTAATGAAAATATCCTCCAAATTATACAAAAAAATAATAATATGCTCCCCTTATTTTATTTTATCTTCGCATCCTCCGTCCTTTAATTATTTAGATATTCAACATTTACAATAAAAATAATAAAAAAAATTAATCACAGCAATCCATCATCAAAATTGTTCTATAGTTATTTATTTGGATGAACTTCTAAAAGAAAATCTCCTGATTTTTTTAAAAAAAATAAAA